TCAGCCTGGCCTGCCTGCTCTCAGTCTGGGAACCCTTAAGGGTGGGAGGTGACCTGGCAATCAGGGGAAAGCAACGCCCCCACCACAGTTCTGCTGCTGCCACTGCCGGCAGCATAAGCCTTGGCTCTATGCATAACCCTAGTTACCTGAGCAATGGGTGGCCCTGGACAGCTGGGCAGCCACCATCTGAGGCTTTCCTGCACCTCAGGCCAGCCCTGGGCAGCTGGAGGGCTGAGGGGATTGGAGTAGTCTGGAGATAGGCGCACGGAGCAGCCAGGCCTGCATGGGGTGGGCCTGGCCATGCCATATGCCTGCCGCCCCTGAGGGCTGAGGGGACTAGAAGCCACCATCTTGTGGCTATGGGCACTGCCATCTTTGGGGGTGTGGCAGTCAATTACCATATTCCCTCTTTATTGGCTGTAGGCACCACCATCTTTGTGAGGGCATGACAGTCAATCAGTAGAGTCCCTCTTTATCTTGCTCTCACTGTCAACAAAAAAAGAACAATGTAAAAATTCTTGCATACCTTGTTTGACTGGAGAATTTTAATGCTTTTCATTTATCATTGTAAAACCAAGGACAATTTTATAACTTTTTTGTATGTAGCAATTACACGTAGGGCAATCTGTCTTTAAGTAGGAATAAATAACTCTAAAAAATGAATCCTAGTTTTCCCTTCAAGTCAAGTGTCATGTTGTTTAAATAAACTTGTTTTAAAAAAATGAAATGATTTCTTTAAGTCTCTGATCACCAGAAGATCATTAAAAGCAGTACCTTTTGCTTTTATTCAGGAGTTTGTTGATTCTTATTTAATATGTAATCCTTATCAGAAATTCTCTTCATCTATAAGCAGCAGCAGACAATAATGGTAGTGGGAAGTAAAAGCTAGAATCTGAAAATCATCTAAATTCAGTATGGCCACAAGTTATTGCCAATAAATGTTATATTTTGTTCAGCAAGGAAATCTAAGATTTTAAATATTGAGATTTAAAATTCTCTAGAACATCATAAGAAAAAAAAAATACTGTGGAAACTAGGACAGCTTCAGAAAAAAATTTACTAAGCTCTATAATTTTAAAGAAAGATCATACTAAGAAAAAATATATAAAACTCTCAGTTTTGCTTAAAAACTGGGAGGCATATGTCATTATATACAGTATCCTAGTGTATAAAAACCCTGGGTCTGTCACAACCGGTTTGACCAACCGGAAGTCAGTACTGCAATCAGCACTGGGTTGCCATGGTGACCCAGCACTGACTGCTACAGAAACAGGCATGGTGACCCAGTGCTGACTGCTGAGGGGGCTGCAAATCAGGTCCAGAGAGAGGCCTGAAGAGAGAAGCAGCGTCTAATCTGAAACCTCTGTGGCAACTGTTGATTAGCACTTGCCTCTCTTTTTCTCTCTGAGCCTGGCCATCAGCTACGCTTCCATTTCTCTCCAGGCTTCCACCAGGGCTGTTGATCAGATCCGCCTTTCCAATCAGGCCCCATTGGTAAGCCCAGAGACGCTGACTGGCATAGAAACCAACCAATCAGAACCAAATCTGGGTGAAGTGTGAGGAGCCAATGGCTGCCTAGGAGACGGAGCTTTTGACGCTGACTGGCATAGATCAATCAGAACAAAACTTTCTGGCAGAGGATGGCAGTTGGGAGGAGATCAGGCCAGAAGGAGAGAGCAGTTAGGGATGATCAGGCAGGCAGAGACAGTTCAGGATGATCAGGCCATCAGGGAAGGGCAGTTGGGGACGAGATCAGGCCAACAGAGGAGGGCAATTGAGGGTGAAATCAGGCAGGCAGGGGAGGGGAGCAGTTAGGGGCAATCAGGCCAGCAGGAGAACAGTTAGGTATTAATCAGGCTGGCAGGGGAGCAGTTAGGTATTAATCAGGCCAGCAGGGGAGCAGTTAGGGGGTGATCAGATTGGCAGGCAGAACCAGTTAGTGGCAATCAGGCAGGCAGACGAGCGGTTAGGAGCCAGAAGTCCTGGACTGTGAGAGGGATGTCCCAGATTGAAGAGGGTGCAGGCTGGGCTGAGGGACACCCCCTCTCTCCCCAGTGCGTGAATTAGTAGAAAATAATCTAGATACTTGACAAGAACATTTAATCAAGTCATGATTCTAAAATAAAAGTTGACATGCTTATAGGAGTATGTCATAGGCCTTTAAGAAAATATTTTAGGTAAATTTCTTCCATATATTTTATTCTAAGGGATATAAGCAATTAATAACTTAAAGAATTTTTAAAAAATAGAAAATGATACAAGTGTGAAAATTTTAAACTATAGATCATAGTTTATCATGAACAGGGCAATAATATGAATTATATAAACTTGTTTTGGACTGACAATACTCTGAAGCTGAATTACATGTCATATATGAAAGCTATATCAGAAAATAATATTAGTTGTCTAGTAAGCATTTTAAATACAAAAATTAACAGGTATAGAAACAAAGCTCCAGAAGTTTGTAATAAAAAGAAGGGAATATCTAAACACATATAAAAAAAAAATAATAATAATTAAAAAAAAAAAAAAAACCCTCACTGAGGAGACAGGTAACGGTGGAAGAGAACCACAGACTTAGAAAAGACTGTCAAATCACAGTATTGCTTCTAGGCTTAAGGCATTGCTCTATTATGACATCCTATTGGCCAGGGGATTTGTTGGCTATTTATCCTAGACAGTAAATAAACTTGAATTTTTCCAGCTAGATGTTACTGGCTCATAGATGCACACTCAAACTTCATAAAGGAAATAAACTAAGAAGTCAAACTTGATTCACAGAAATTCACATTTTAATTAGTTCATTTTATAAATAATTGCATTCCTTAAAAAAAAAAAAAGACTCATATTTTAAAGAAAAATATTTTTAAGTACAGCTCATACACTAGTTTCAGAACAAATCACTACCTGGTCCTTTCCTATTTCTGCCCTTGCCATATCATCAAAAAGAAGAAAACCCAGTGGTTCTTTGTTATTGAAATTTTTCCATCTAATATTAAAAGCACAAACTGATGTGTCAGTTTTAAGTATTCATCATTAAAACCTTTATAAGCACACTAATATAATAGGTATGCATTATAATAAGGGTCTTTATTTTTCATTTTACCATTCTTTTGACTTCTATAGGGCAAAAAGCAAATAACAGAATATGTAACTGATCTTACAGAGTGAAGAATATAAAAATAAAATGGGGAAATAATACATTTTATAAAATGTATTTTATACATTTTGATAAAACAGAAATTTATCAAAAGACAAAGAGAAAAATATAGAATGATAGGGTAAAGTATGTAAGTTAAACTAGAATATTCAAACTGAAATAAAGATTATGATTTGACAATGCCAATCAAAAAACAATATAATAATTTTTTAAACTAAAGGTTGAATTCAAATTTAAAATTTCTATTTGAGGACAACATACTCTAAAGTCAAGAAAACACAACACTGGATAAAACACGATGAAGACAGTGCTTTAAATTTGAAACTATAATTAGGTCACCATTAAGTTTTCTTGCCAAAGATGGAATCATTTGTCCAAAGAAAAAGAAACAAGTTATCTGATTATAATAGTCTTAGAAAATACAAATTAAATTTTCATTTATGGAATAAAATTTGTTCAACTCAACTCAAATAATATGACGCCAAGCTCAATTTTTCAGTTATTTAAATAATAGTGTTAAATAACAGTATAGCACAACCAGAAAAATTGTAACTAAGAAGATTAAAATGTCTGCTGAAAACATACTTCATGTGGATTAAAAAAAAGAAAAGCGTTCATTGAAAAAACTCCTGAATAGGAAGCCAATACAATTCTATTAGAACTTCATAAAGAGAGAGCAAACCATACCCAGTTTGAAAGGTAAGAATAAACATGCAAACTGTTAAGCAAAGTCAGGAATATTGATTACTTTGAAACATCTGCTAATTTCCATTTTAATGAAGAATAAAGGGATACAATACGTTAAAGACATATTTAAAAGACTAATAGTGAGTTAAGACAGATGAATCAACTTTTTTATATCCTAAATAATTACAAGAGACTTTGAAAATGTAGTGTTATTTATGGTTTCTTTCCAGTTTACAAATTTCTATACACTGCCTCTATCTTTGGTGTCACTGCCACCAATAAACACAGTATACAGTTTATAAACCTGATTACTACCTTCAACTAGGAAAAAGTAAATCAACATTATTTCTTTAAAAATAAGATATAAAGAACATGATCCTATCTTAATTTTGAGTCATGGTCCCACAATATTCTGAAATACCATGCCAAAATGTAAAAGTTTAAAAGGGAACATTATTTGTTATAACTGCACCAAAAATTTAGCTACTGTATGCTGGTGTGATGACAGCTAGCAGTATGCAGAGGCTACAGAAAGACATAATGTACATATGTTTAATTCACAATCAGTCAAAGGAAAGCTCAGTTTAATGTAAAACTGAAACACTAACATAATACTTTCATGTAAATATACTACAGCTTTGTTCTCTTGCACTTTAACAGATAGTGTAATTATCTTAAATTTACACAAAACATAACGAAACATGGTAGTTGTTCATGATTAAAATAAAATAGCAATGCAAATTAATTTAACAGTGTTAAATATATTCACACAATCACCACTGTGATCCAAAAATGGCCACTAATGAAGTTACACAGAAATATATGTACATAACATTTGCCACAACCATTTTTGTTAAGTTTGACTTTTTGAGACCAGGTAATTTTATGAGACAAATAATCATATCAATTCTTTCATATGATGAAAAGAATTAAATGTTGTAAGTAGTTTCATTCCTCTGGGAGAGGAGGGGGGAAGAAGCTCTGAAAAGTCAGTGCAAACTGTAGAGTTCTACCTTCCTGACAACATAACGTTGAATATTTGAACTTGTTGATGACAGATTCCTATAAGATGAGGATAAACAAACCTTAAGATATTAAAAGAATCTCTAACATTGTCAGCGGCATTTAGCAGATCAAAGAGGAATCCCAAATCCTATAGCAGAGCCTTCTGAGAATATGGTTGCTGTGGCTGAGGTGGTTGTTGACTGCCTGCTGGTTGAGGCATTGCTGACGTTGTTAAACTATAGGCTGGCACATGGGACATATTAGTTCCTGCATTCTGGTATATAGTGACATCAGCAGTAGCAGCAGCAGGAGGACTATATACTGACGCCTGGCTGTGATATGTATTTCCTTGAACAGAACTGACCATTGAGCTGTGGAAGGGAAAAAACACTCAGATCAATATTGACTAACTTACCCATTTAAAGACAATCCGGAAGCTATTCATTAAATACCCATTCAGTAAATATTTATTAAATACCCATAATGTGTCAACTGTTATGTGTCAAATGTGCTATTTTAGGTACTGGGATATAATAAAAAAAGAGGAGGCAAAAAAAAGTCCCCACCATCATGAATTTACATTCTAGTAGGAAAAAAAAGATAAATTTATAATATGTCAAGTGGTAATAACTGGGATGAAGAAAAATAAAGCCTATTAGGGGGAAGAAGAACCAAGAGTTCCTGAGACAAGAAGACTCTGGCTTTTACAGTGTGGTAGGGGAAGGCATTTCAGATAAGGGAAAAATTTAAGCAGAGTCCTGAAAGAAGTGAGAGAAGGTGTCATGCTGATTATATAGGAATATAATAAGCTGGTCAAGTGAAAAGAATGGCAAGCACAGAATCCACTAAGAAGACAAAATGCCAGGCATGTTCAAGGACCAGAAAGGAGGCCATGCTGGCAGAAGCAGAGCGAGAAAGGAGGAAAGTCGCATAAGACAAAATGGCAGAATTAAAGGGGAAAGGAGCCTTGGATATACAGTGCCTTGGAGGCCATAGTAAGGATTCTGGATTATACAGTGAGATGGAAAGACACCAATTCTGGACAGAAGAATGATGTGATTTGACTTAGGTTTAACAGACTCAGTATGGGCCAACGATATCTGACTTAGGCTTTTACAAGGTAAGAGCTGACAGGTGGCCAGTACCATGGTAGACTTGGTGAAGAGAAGAGTATGATTTTGAAGGCATTACCATCAAAATTTGCTATGGGTAGAGTGGTCAAGAATGCCTGAGGTTTTAGAACTGAATGACTGGAAGAAATAACTGGTAGAGTGGCCATTCACTAAAAAGACAATAGATGGCAGGTAAGGACTACAATAAATTTGGGGAAGGGGAATCAAAGTAGTTTTGTTCATGTGAAGTGAGATATCTAGGAAAAACAGATATTAAACAGGTGGTCAGCTATTCAAGTCTAGACGACCAGTGGAAAGTTAGGAATAGAAATACACATTTGGGGATCATCATCATACACCTGGTGTTCAGAGTTGTGGGCATGTATAAGACCCCCTAGGGCAGTGGTTCTCAACCTTCCTAATGCCTCGACCCTTTAATACAGTTCCTCATGTTGTGGTGACCCCCAACCATAAAATCATTTTCGTTGCTACTTGATAACTGTAATTTTGCTACTGTTATGAATCGTAATGTAAATATCTGTGTTTTCCGATGGTCTTAGGCTACTCCTGTGAAAGGCTCATTCGACCACCAAATGGGTCGCAACCCACAGACTGAGAACCGCTGCCTTAGGGAATGACTACAGAGAAAAAGCCCATATTTTGAGTCCTACACTAGAAGTCAAGAAGACACAGAAACATTAGGCAGAGAAGACTGAGGAGTGGCAATAGGTGGAAGGAAAACTAAGAGAGAATGGTCATAATCAAGTGAAGAAAGTATTTCAAAAAGGAAGTGACGCCTGGATCTGGCAATATGGAAATCATCAGTCCTTGACAAGAGGTGGACTAGGGAAGATGAAAGCTTGATAACCTTGTTTCTCTTACTGCCCTGAAAATGAAAAGCAAATAAGAGAGACCTTCCATCTACTCCCACCACCACATTCCTCAACTATCTTTCCTACTCCCATTCATATGCTGAGTCTTCTCTCCTGCTATAACTCATCAGCTGTCAGTGCTCCCTTGTAAGGTACCCTACACTTGGGCACTGCTCTCATTCCATCAAAAACATTCCTTCAGAGCTGTCTTTATTCACTCCCTCTGCTTTCTCTCTTCCCATCTCCGGTCTGATATTTGAGTTTTTACCAGGTATAAAATACTAGTATAGATATATAGAGAGAAATACTAACAGCTTTCACATTGAGATTTCCCCTTACATTTCTGTTAAAAATGTAAAAACAAACTATAAATTTGGGCAATTTTCAAGATATTACCTATTTCTAAGCTCTTCATTTGCTAGATTGTTCTAGATTGTTTACAAATCATTTGCTGATAAAGTCAATGTTCTTGCATTCTGCACAGAATAATAAATCATTATTAAAGGTGACAATCTTTTAGTGCTACATTCCACCCACTAATGTAACCCTTAGGTACAATAAACCCTAATTTTGAGGATCTCAACTTAATGAACTTCAGATTTAATGGACAAAATTTCTGGTTTGTATGGCATATGTGAAAATTAACACTCTGTTAATTTTAAAATTGTAAACCAAGATTAGCAACTTATTTTATGTTGTTAATTCACTGTCATTTTTAACAAATTTTAGTTAACAGGCGGTGTGTTCAGAAACACTGAAGTAATTTCATTGACATAAATAAATATTACATAACTACAGACTACATATTTAAATCCAAGAGTCAGCACTGGCAAACAATGTTCGGGAATGATTAGCACATGATCACACTGTGCAATAATTGGTTCTGTTGTCACCGAGCCTGACTTTCTGCAGCAGTTCTAATGTGCGCTAAGCCACACCCCTGCTGTGTGCATTGTGTGCATTTCTTTATTCGAGGTAACTGGTGAATGCATGCTTTTACTAGATGTATCCAGTATAAATTTCAAATTACAGTAATACATACAAAAAACTTTTGTGTGAAATTAAACTTTTCATACATATTACATTTTAATTACCCAAAAATGTTTATGTAATTAAATACAGTAAACTAATTTGCCAATTTTTTTACATATATATTTGGAAAACCTACTTTATTATGTAATGGACTTGAGCTTTAGTGGACACCCCTCGCCTGTATTAGTCCATTATATTGAGGTTTTATTGTAATACTAAAAGGCGTCACTCAGTAGTACAATTTTACATGTGCTACTTTGTAAGATAAAAAGTATTACAAGCCCTAACCGGTTTTGCTCAGTGGACAGAACATCGGCCTGCAGACTGAAAGGTCCCAGGTTTTTTTTTGTTGTTTTTTTTTTAAAAATATATTTTATTGAGTTTTTAGAGAGAGGAAGGGAGAGGGATAGAGAGCTAGAAATGTCGATGAGAGAGAAACATCGACTAGTTGCCTCTTGCACACCCCCTACCGGGGATGTGCCCGCAACCAAGGTACATGCCCTTGACCGGAATTGAACCCGGGACTTTTCAGTCCGCAGACGGACACTCTACCACTGAGCCAAACCGGTTTTGGCAGGTCCCAGGTTTGATTCCAGTCAAGGGCATGTACCTTGGTTGCGAGCACATCCCCAGTAGGGGGTATGCAGGAGGAGCTGATTGATGATTCTCTCATCGATATTTCTACCCTTCTATCCCTCTCCCTTTCTCTCTGTAAAAAATCAATACAATATATATATTTTTAAAGTATTATAAGAAATCAGATTTTATGCTCTTATTTACATCAATAAGGACCACAATACAGCTATAATATAATATTGTGACAAAGTGCTAAGCTCTGGAGCCAAAATGCCTGATTTTGTATCTTACCAAAGTGAAAACTTAATCCTCCCTCCATAATGTTTCCTCACCTAATAACATGGGACATCCCAATAAATGTTCACTATTATAATTATTCAGTCTGTACTATATTCCTTATCTCAATTTACATTACCATCATTCACCCAGTTGCGCAAGGGCAAAAATCAGCAATTCACCACTACTCTCCCTTATATCTGCTCTGCACTATCGCCCCAGCATATCATCTATATGCAATCATTTGCGAATCTCCTAAATAACTCTTTTTCCCTCTATCTCATTATATCTTTAATTTAATTTACTTTTTTTCTCTTTACTTTTTTAAAAAATATATATTTTATTGATATTTTACAGAGAGAAAAGGAAAGGAATAGAGAGTTAGAAACATTGCTGAAAGAGAAACATCGATCAGCTGCCTTCTACACACCCTCTACTGGGGATGTGCCAGCAACCAAGGTACATGCCTTTGACGGGAATCAAACCTGGGACCTTTTAGTCCGCAGGCCGACGCTCTATCCACTGAGCCAAACCGGTTTCGGCACCAATCTTATTGACATTTAAATCCCCTTGAAGGCTTTCCCAAGACCCAAGCTCCTTAACATGATATCTAGGACCAGTCATTATCTACGCCGATAACCGCAAGTACATCACTCACATCTTCCACCATAGACTTTAATCCTTTGGTAATATGTATTTTCACAACTTCCATCCCATGGTACTATGCCATTTCATGCTGCTATATATTTGCTCATGATAGAAAATCTTTATTATTTTTTCCTCCACACTAAGAATAATATAACTTGAGACTATGTTCTTTGAAACCTTCCCTGGACCTTGAAGTTCCTAAAGCACCCTGCATGTACTTTTATTTGTAATTTATATTATCATTACAATTTGTATGGTTGCCTCTACTAACTCAGTACACACTGAGGTTAAGAAACTCTAAGTCAGTGGGAACTAATATGCCCAGGGAGCCAAAAACATTCAGTGGAGAATGAATAGTCTCTTCCAACCCTTGAACGAAGAGGTCATCAGTTTGATTCCTGGTCAGGATACATGCCTGGGGTTGAAGGCTTGATCCCCAGTAGGGAGTGTTGCAGAAGGCAGCCGAACCATTTTTCTCTCTTAGCAATGTTTTTCTCTCTCTAAAATCAATAAAAACGTATTTAAAAAAAATAATAAATTATATGACTCAGCAGTCCCATTTATGAGTATATATCCCAAAGAACTGAAATCAGGATCTTCAGGAGATCTGCACTCCCATGTTCACTGCAACATTACACAAAACAGCCAAAATATGGAAACAACCTGAGCATCCATCAACAGATGAATGGGTAAAGAAGATATATGTGTACATGTCCCCCTTCTCCCTTTCCCTCTCTCTCTCTCTCTCTCTCTTCCCCTCCAATCCACCCCTTCTTTCTTTCTCTTTCCCCCCTTCTTCCCCTCTCATAAGAAAAAAGAAAATTCTGTCATTTGTACAACTTGGATGAGACTTGA